TATATATATATATATATATATATATAGTGTTTATGATATGCCTGTAATCTCTATACTGTGAATACTTTGTTGTACATACGTTTAACTTGTTCCGAATATATATATATTATTTGAAAACAAATAAAGTGTGTGCTGTTTATTCATCGTTAAATTTATCGCTAACAAGTCACAGACACCTACAGTGAAAGAATCCTAACCCCAACAATAATACAATCTATATTTATACTAATAAGAAGTATAAGTAAAATACTTTTATTTTGACAATTGGCGAAATAATTATATTTTAAATTCTGACAATCTTTTACACATTTGTTTGCACAATTAATGTGTTTAGTTGTATAATGTTTGTAACAGCTAAACTGTGAATATCGTAATTTATCTTCTACAGGTAAATAATCCACGTACGAGCACAAACAATTAAATATAGATAAACTTTATGAGAAGCGACTACACTATAGATTAACTGTTTACAGAGAAAACCTAATTTGAAATTAAAGTAGTATATGTAGTGACTGGTTTCAATAAACGACTTTGATCTGAATTTCATTCTTAAGTATAGTTTTATCAGAGAGTAAAAGAATGATTGATTTAGTTGTATGTTTTATAAATGTGCTGAAAAATTACGTTTGAGATACTTAAATTTAGCAGTTATTTCTAAGAAACAAACTAACACTATTAGTTACCATAACAACAAGATCAGAACTATAGCCATTTTAGTAATGAACAAAGTTAATATTTAATATATAGTTCTTATATTCTTACACATAAAGATTAAAATGTATTTTTTCAAAGGGTCGGGATTCTGAAAACGGGTTTCAATGTATGTAATGTTTTGAGGATACCCTTCCCTAAATATAATAATATAATAAGATTGTATATGTTACGATTGTTACCATAGCTTTCTTTCAAATAGTAAATTATAGAAGTTTATAGCTAGCCACTGCATATTTCGAACAACTGGCAAGAATTTTTTTAACCTATTTATTGATATAGTTTGTTTAATTTGTTTTAACGACAAAGTTACATAATGGGCTATTTGCACTGTGTCCACTGCGGAAAATACAGCCCCGGGGTTGATCGTTTTATGACCTCACCTTTTGATGATTTATTCATGAGACAATCCAGTAGCAGTCCCTTCAATTGTTGGGTTATTTTAAAGTTATATGAGTTATATTCATGAGACAATCCAGTAGCAGTCCCTTCAATTGTTGGGTTATTTTAAAGTTATATTCATGAGACAATCCAGTAGCAGTCCCTTCAATTGTTGGGTTATGTTAAAGTTATATGAGTTATTGAAGATACGTGTATTTGATCAAAGGATAGTTAGTGTAAACTTAGCTTTGAGTTTTCAACTTCTTAAAATGATGATTATTACACAAAATACCAGATTTCCTGATTAAGTGTGATAATGATATTCATATGGCCATTTATTCTGATTCGTTATATTTGTTTTAAGTTATCACTTTTCAAAGCATCTTGATCCGGGGTTGCTACCAATATTCCAGACGAGTTATTGGATTTCCTATACTAAGTGTTCCTACGTAACTGTTACAGACGAGTTATTGGATTTCCTATACTAAGTGTTCCTACATAACTGTTACAGACGAGTTATTGGATTTCCTATAGCAATGGTCGACACACTTCGTTCCAAATAAGTTTCCCTTTTTGTCCACCCCAATGAGAACAACACAGGGAAGTCATAGTTATAATTTCTCTTCCATCTTAATAAAACTTTTTTTCTTAAATATACTAATGCTCATTTTTGTTGGTGGAAGTTTCTTCTGTATGAATATGATAACTGATTGGATTTTTCCATTACCACTGCATCTAACTAATGTACAAGAAATTACTTACTCCCGATAATGGTCTGATTATTTCATACATGTCATCATCTGTTGTGTACCAAACTCCTCTTGGCACCATTATAGTCAACAATGCTAACGATATCAGCTTTTACTTTTTCACTGTCATTGTTGCCTTCAACTATTGTGATTGAGTTGTTCACCATGCCTGTATTTAACATGATCCTTGCAACAACGTCTGGAAAATGGAAACCTTCGCTTGTGACTGTTGGAAATTTGTATATCAGCTGTTTGATCATTTCGTTTTGGATGCCTCCTACAAAATCCAATGCATTTTCAATCATGACGTCATTCATACGATCAACGTGGTTGGAGAGCTTTTTGGATGTTTGTTCAACACACTTGTCTTCTCGGTTTTGCAGTAGACAAGTTTTAATACTTAAGTTGAATTGTGAACCTGAGATGATCAGTGCATTGTTCTTATGACACATCTAGCTGTAAACCCAATGGCACGTACATTCAAATGAAATTTTCTTCCTTGTGTTTCCGTGTGAAGATAACAAACAAGATAAAACACCCACCCACCCCAAAGAAAATTGTAAGTTCTTTTGTCCATATGCAACACAATTTCTTTGATATGTAGCCACTCACTTTTCATGAACATTATTTTCGTATCCAATATTGAGAGAATAGTTTCACTGCTTAGCTTTTTACCTCCTAAGCGGTAACGATCAACAGACAACTTGTTCTGAATTGACTCTCTTTGATGACTCAATGTTTTCGGACAAGGAGTTTTCACCAATAAGTGGAATAATGACTTTTTAAAGTCTCTGTTGTTGCTTGTCGTCGTCATGTGTTATTCAGTTTTCTCTTTTGTTTTTCTGTTCCTTCCATCTTCAACATTTTCTTTTTCAGCAAGAGTTGGAGTTCTCTAATTCTCGTTCTAATGTCTCTATCCTTTCTTTTTTTTCTCGCTTCCACCTGAATGCAAGCGATTAGTGTGATACTACTGTGCATGTTTATGTCATTTCTATATACTGCAAGTACATTAGCTTTTGTAAGTGTACTTTTGGGAATATTTTTGGTTAGAGCTTGTGGTTTGATTTTGGTTTTGATAGCCACCAAACTATTTTCTAAAAGAAAAAACTCATTTGCTGATACTTCTAATTCTTTATACCAGTTTAAGAGTATTTTAGTCTTAGCCGCTCTCAACAAACCCCCCAACTCCCAATTTTATCAGACTGGTTCTCTCGTTAAAACAGTAGTAAATAAAAATTTCAGGAATGATAAGAATTATTTTTATAATTTGAAATAAATGTTAATCTATTTTAAGCAAAAAAAAAAAAAGATTTGATCCTAAAATATTTTTAATTATAATTTAAAAATAGTAAATAATCATTTAGCAGTAATAAGTAAATAAACGGTCTTCGAAGAATTAAACTCACCGTTGACCACATGCACAGTAACGCTGGTTGCATCAGCGTTCGAAGGACCGCATGTGTAGTTTCCAGAGTTCAATGCCTTGGCGTTCTTAATATAGAGGGTGCTCAGGGCGGTGTTTTCCTTCTTCTTTAGAGTAATTTTCCCGCGAGATGAGTCGTAATTAATCATGCGGTCGTTGTGATACCAGAACACGAACATTGGGGGTGAGGGACTATGTCTGATAATGCACGTGAGGTTGATATAACTTCCGCTGCTTACAAGCAAGTCCTTTTCCCCCAGGATAGAAGCCACAGGCACTGACAAATAGAACTTGGAATATAAGACTCGGCTACTTCCAGGGCTCCATCTTCATACCAGTTAATGGATTAATGGTCAAAACATTTTCTCAATCAAGTACAATACTACCCTAAATTATCCGAAGTATTTTCTACCTTTATTTGAAATATGAAAACCGATTTTTTCTTCGGAATCATTTACACATATACATATTTTCTCAAATTATGAAAGTTATGCTATTACTAATATGGATAACTATTAAAACTAACTTCTTCCCCCCAAAACAGGCTAGACAAATTTCACTATAGATGTAGTCATGAAATATATAATTTCTGTACAAATGTGTCGAAATTAACATATTTTAAATCCTTAGAAATTCAGGAAACAATTCGTAATTTATAATTAAATAAGTAGAACTACAAATACTTCTGTAGGTCAGAAAGGCCGAAGTAAAAATATTCTACAATTTTAGAAAAACTACAAAATAATGTAACAGAAAAAATTTCTTTCTTCGGTTCAGGAAGATTAAGCATAATTTGATCTACAGTAAAAATATAATAATCTGACAGATTAACTGATTAATAAATGATATGATTGATGAAGGAAGGTTAACAAGCTGGAACATAGAAAATGATAACACGGCTTATTAACACATTTGAGATAGATGTAAAAGTTTACAAAACTCTAATATAAATTATAATAATGTGGAAAACATGATATTGAAACAGTATAGTGGCCTATCTATTTCGCAATGACCGATTCCCTGTCCCTTACCCATCAAACTTTCCAACCATTAATACATAGTCGCATCAGGTTTTCTGAAGTGAGACAGTCTTATCCTATGTGTCATTTAGCTACGAAATGTAATACAATCTATAACAAAATTTTTATCAATGTGAAAAAATGACAAGTTATAGATAGAGCTCAGCCATCAGACAAACAAACCAAGCTAGAAGAAATAATTAATATTTTTATTATTAGTATTAACATTTTAATAAAACTAATAGTAGGCTAAAAGGGCTTTATATGTTTAGACGTCCGTGTGACAAACATCTCGACCCTTGTCAACTACAGAAAAACTTTATTTGTCTGCTCTTGTCGCTCGACAGTTTCACTTTTTTTCAACGACAAAATCAATCTTGTTTATTAGATTGAACCTACAAAATTTAGTAACTTCTTGCAAAATATCAACACAACAAAAACGGGTTTCGTTGTAACTTACCGTCCTAAAGGGCCCAATTATCTTTTCCTTCAATTTCTTGGTACAGAGAATGTAATATTGAGAAGTCAGATAATTTCCCCCTCAGGTACAAGTAGAATTTATCTTTATACACTCTCTTAGACTCGAATATCTCTGTCGTTTTGAATATTGGATACCAAACCCATTACCTCATGGAACATTTATTCTTATATGGCTGTCAGGCTAAACAACCAGCCTATTGTACGAAAGATTCCATAAACTGAAGAGTATTTTATTTAAAACCGTAATAAAACTTCACAATCGCCATAAACCACTCTTTTTCTGAAGACAGTTTCAAAACTCTGACCACTGGCCATTACGGCATCGAACTTACTGTCAGCTAAGTAAGCCTCATCTCCTTCAAGTGACTAACAGAATAAACACATTTTAGCTACATTTCTTTTTGTCGTAATTTTAGCTTTTTTTATTAATGTATATTATGAATGTATTCAATCACATTTGCAATGGGATACATTTGGATATTAAAGCTGTTATATATTTACATTTATTTACTCCTTTGCTGTATACCACAGATTTTGCAATGCATTCATGTATATATTTATTTTCACATTAAAGCTAGATTTCTTACTTTTAACTGTGTTTTGGGTTAATGCTGCAAGTGAAGTATCATATATTGTTATGGTGTGAACAAGTTTAACTCAATAGATATTT